ATCTTTCTAAAGCGTATGACTTTCTCACATTTGTCGATGTCAGGAGGCTTATGAAGCTGAAATATAATCGGATAGTGGTCACAGGATGGGAAGCTTTTGGCCATGTTTTGCATTACCTCAACAGAAGTTTGATCTACTACTTTGTGCGAAGAAATAACAGGATCAAGGATGTGACCTTTTTTATGTGTCGGTGAGTAGACAAGTTGATGAAGCCCAAAAGATGATAGTATGGTGCTCCACTCGCTCACATGGGCAGAGATTCTGTCTAGGTGTTAGTTTCATTGATTTATTAGTTTCATTGGTGCATATTAACATCTCCGCATAGCAAGAAATGCTTGTATTTTGAGAATGCATCCGCCAGGAAATCTTCAAAATCAGAGAGGAAATTTCCCAAGGACCCAGGTGGACGGTAGATACAGGAGCAGAAGACGACAGACCCATCAACGAGTTTCAGTTTTGCGTTAATTGCCTCAAATGATCCGTCATTGTTGGCAAAAACTTTGATTAGACGAACACATGATTTGTAGATTATGGCAACACCTCCACCTGATTTGTCTTTGCGATACACTTGGTAAAGTTTATAGCCATAGTTTTTTATTATTGCAGTGGTGTTGTTGTTCTCATCAGTTAGCCATGTTTCTGTAACAAAGAAAATAGATATGTTGTTATCTTCTAAAAAGTTCATAACATGGTCAACTTTGTTGTTTAGAGAGCGAACATTCCAGCTTGCACATTTCATACTAAGGCTCTTAACTCCAGTCTTGTTCTTCACCAGTTTTTTTGGGTGTAATATGAGATTGAATGCTTAAGCTTGTGCTGTTCAGAGATATAGGCTGGGCATGATCTATCTGTGGCTGAGTGTGTGTACTGTTCATCAGTTCTCTTAGAATTTTTACAGTTAGCACAGGAGGGTTGAAAGGAAGGTGTGTCTTTATTTGTACATGAGTTAGTTTCATGATCTTCAGTGCAATGAGCACAGACATGGTTAGATGCTTGGCACTGGGCTGAGTAATGACCAAACTTTTGGCATTTATTACATCGTTTGATGTAAAAGTGATCATACACCTTGCAGCGGTACAAACCTATCGATAGGAAATTGTCACGATTTTCGATAAGCTTCCTTGTGGCATTGCTCACTCTAACAGAAGCTTGAAACAGTGGTTTTTCTGTTTGATAATTTCGTTGTTTGCGGACTGAGAGTACAGAGAATGTTTCACCAGAATCAATGAGGGACTTGATGTCAGGGTAAAGTTTCATAATGGTTTCAAAGAGATCATCGGGTGTGATTTCATCTCTAATCCCGGAAATGGATATCGTAGGCAATTTGGTTATAGGTTGCTTGAGATCAGATTTGGGAAATCTTTTGGAGATAGATTGAACTAGCTTTGTTCGATCAGCTTGACTAGATGTGGTGATAACTGTCTCACCTTTCTTGTTTTCGAAGGTATTATCTACAAAAATGTTATTTTCTGTGATAATAGTTTTAAGGTCAGATAATGGAACTTTTTCTCCCCCTTCAGAGACTATTACTGAAGCTGGATGCCTCAGTTTTTCTACTCTGCAGCTGTCACGCCAGGGATTTTCGACAACACCATTAGAGCCACCAGTTTCATGGTTACTATTAATTGGTGAAAGGGTTGGTGATATGGAACAGTTTCCTGCGGTCAAACTTAATCCATGAAGAGTGGCAGGATTTAACAAGAGATTTTTAATGGTGTCTATGTCAGCATCTAGTTTTGACATTTTTGTTTCAAGGGTGTGTACATGGGTTTTTAAATCAGTAGCGTTTCTCAGGTTTGCTAATGTAACACAAGAGTCACAATGGAAGAGGAAACTTCCAAAACGTTTACCTTTCTGTTTTGATTCAGTGTTAGCATTGAAAGATTTCAGTAAGGACGGGGAGCATACATTATCAGGAAAGTTAACACGTTTACCGTCCTTTATTTCATAACAAGTAGCGTGAAAATTGCTCTTACATTCATAACAACATACCACTTCTCCTTTAGAATGTGATGTTGATCTATTAACATATAGGTTGCAGCTTTCGCCGCTCCTACTACCTCCTGATATGTAACTAAATTTGTTCATAAAGTTTGTAGGACAATTGTCATGGATGATTCTAAACATATAATTTGACAGATGGAGTTGTCGTCTAAGATGGAGTGGTAACCATTTCATGTCTCTATAAACATTAAGGCTGCTCTCTGTTTGTGGAACGTTGAGAGCTATTTTGGCTACCTTTTTGTACAGAGTGTCAAGTTCAGCAAGTTTTGTCTTGCCAGCTCTAAACATCCTTGATTTGCTTGAATCTCAAAAATGGCGAACTGGAGGCCAGTTTTACAGGTTCTAATCCGATGTATCAGAGCTACTTCAGCTAGTGAGTTATTTAATATGTCTAATTTAAGGTTAAGACTGGATCTAGAGGAGTCATTTTAGGACCTACTAAATAGTTTCCACTGGTATTTTGTCGAGCTGAACATCTTGCACACTTTGAACATCTTCGATGTGTTTGAATCTCAAAAATGACGAGATGAAGGCCAGTCTTACAGGTTCTAATCCGACGTATCAGAGCTACTTCATTTAGTGAGTTCAATTTAAGGTTAAGACTGGATCTGGAGGAGTCATTTTAGGGCCTACGAAATATTTTCCACCAGTATTTTGTCGAGCTGAACATGTTGCACACTTTGAACATCTTCGATGTGTTTGAATCTCAAAAATTACGAGCTGAAGGCCAGTCTCGCAGGTTCTAATCCGAAGTATCAGAGCTACTTCATCTAGTGAGTTATGTCAAATTTAAGGTTAAGACTGGATCTGGAGGAGTCATTTTAGGGCCTACGAAATATTTTCCACCGGTATTTTGTTGAGCTGAACATTCTGCAACCCTTTACAGACGAAATGATCTCAGGGGGGGGGGGGGGGGGGGGGGGGGACTCCAAACCCACTGCTTCGGCGGTTAGTTGATGCACTGTTCACACTTCACAAGCAATGATGTGAACTGATCTCGTAAGGTTGTTTAATCGTTTAATAAGCCTTGACACCACCGCTGATTGAAATTCACGTGCGATGATGTGAACCCTGCTTGATTCAGGGGATACTGTACCATGATCTGGTAGACAGTTGTTCGTGGACAGTTGTCCATGGACAGTTGTCCGTGGACAGTTGTCCGTGGACAGTTGTGCACGGACAGTTGTCCGCGGACAGGGGTCGGCTATCTAGATACTGCCCTGTCTTCTAATAATTTCAGACAGACAGGATTCAGGAACACACCTTGTATCTTTGTTTCCTTTGTATCTTTGCACTAAATAAGCTTTATTTTTTAGGTCTTGGTTTGAAAATAAATTATCAAACTAACTTACTGTGTTAAAAAAAGTTATTATCAATAAATCAATTGTCTTACATCACCCAAATTTCATTTGCAGCAAGAATGCCAATAGCATGTGTTCAATGTGGTGAGCGTGCCATCCTCAAGCGTCCAAAGAATCGAAAAGAACTTTGCAAGGAATGTTTTTATACAGTTTTCGAATATGAAATCCATGAAACAATTGTCAAGAATAACCTCTTTACTCGTGGCGAAACCATTGCCATAGGGGCAAGTGGAGGCAAGGATTCAACAGTGTTGGCCCACATTATGAAGACACTTAATGAAAGATACGATTATGGTCTGAATTTAGAGCTTTTATCAATAGATGAAGGGATAACTGGTTATAGGGACGACTCCTTGGAAACTGTAAAGCGTAATCAAATGCAGTATAGTCTTCCTTTGAAAATTTTATCATATCAAGAACTTTATGGATGGACTATGGATGCAATTGTCAAGGAAATTGGAATGAAAAACAATTGTACTTTTTGTGGTGTTTTCCGAAGGCAAGCTTTAGACAGAGGGGCTGCTATGCTCAAATGTGATAAAATTGTGACTGGTCACAATGCTGATGATATTGCTGAAACTGTCATCATGAATATTCTGAGGGGTGATATAGCACGTCTGGGAAGATGCACAGCAATCAGCACAGGCTCTGAGGGAATGATATCGAGAAGCAAGCCCTTCAAATTTACCTATGAGAAAGAAATTGTTATGTATGCCCATTTCAAGAAGCTGGACTACTTTACAACAGAGTGTATCTACTCTCCCAATGCCTACAGAGGTCACGCTAGAACATTTTTAAAAGATCTTGAAAAAATCAGACCACGTGCAATCTTAGACATTATCAAATCTGGAGAGGACATGGTCACCAAGGAGGAGGTATAATAGCAGTTACTTTAAAATTACATTTATTTGTCTGTAAAGCATGTCAAGTATGATTATAGATTTAAGATTTAGCAGTAAATTTATCTAATAATTGTCATACATTTTGTACCTTTCTATTGTCTGTAGGAATCATAATAACAATTTTTCAGGTTAAGATGCCAATACAACAAAACTGTGAAAGGTGTGGTTACATTTCAAGCGCAGAACTTTGCAAAGCATGTATTATGTTGGATGGTTTAAATAGGGGTCGACCTGAGCTTAGTATAGGAAAAAACAACAAGAGGAAGAAGATCCTTAAAATGACTGCTGGAAAAGTGAATGGTCAAAATGGAATATCAAATGGAAGTAATGTTCGGACAAATACAATAAATCAAGATATTAAGGACATGTTTTAATGAAGGAGGTTTTTTAAAGAATTTCAAGCTATTTATTAATTAATTTGTAAACATCTTGGTAGTGCAATCAGTTTATTAGAAGCTTCCAACTGGACCTTTTTTATGATTAGTTGACCCTCTTCTATCAGTTTTTAGATTATGTTTTAGATGAAGCATGAAATTGAATCAGATTTATTTTCAGCTGCAGTAGATCGATTTGAAATTTCATTCTCCCCTCGTCAACAATTTTGTGTATTTTAGGTCACTGGTTATTATCACTAATATATGATTAATCACAAAAAACTATGAAGATGTTGAAATGTTCTCATTTTACTTGATAATGATGTTTTAAAATTTGTAATCCCATTATTTTGACATAGGAAGTTACCAGTGTTTTTAGCAATGCCATCAAAAGGAGCTAAGAAAGCCCAGAAACTGAATGCTAAAAAAGGAGGAAAGGCAGCCCAGAAACCCGTGAGTCACTAGTCAATAGGAAAATTATTGTAACAAAATTGTCGACGTGGTTACTGCCATCTTACATTCGTGATAGTTCCCCTCTAAGAAGTTTTTACTAATTGCTCCCTCAGAGTACAAATGGCGGAGGACCCGCCCTAGATGTAGACACAATGCTGAGGATGGAGGCTGTCCAAGATGACCAGGTTAAACAACTCTTGGCCGCTTGTTCCTCCACTGGCGTACTTTCCTCACATAAAGAAAGCAGGTATATACATTTTAAAAATTGATCCATTTATTTATTTCATAAAGTTGTTTGTCTAGTTTATTGTCGCTTCATGTCGCATGGTTTGATGAATAATTGTAATTAATAATTATAGGAGGTGGCCTAGGCAGAGGAATGTAAAATCCACATTTGAAGATTGTCTTAATTGTCATTATCATAGGATTAGTAAGAGTGTTCCGTCACTCTTTCAGGAAGCATCCTGCAACACTGTAGAGTGCAGATGCATCTGTTTACATAATAGTGCTTTTCAAATGAGACGCAACCTTACATGTTATGAAGTGAGGGTTTGGACTGGCTGAACCAGGTTAAAATATTCCCATCACACTACAGACAAACTCAATAAATTCAATCATTTGTAGAGCTGTTGTGAAATTGGAACTTCAAATTTATCCTAATTATTTACATTACACATTTTTAGTGTGATCGTGTTTAAAGAAATGTAACAATGACAATGATACTCCTCCAGAGACATCCAGCTAACGAACGTGTCGATTACCCATCACGGAGACAACATTCTCGATGATACCGTTATCGAGCTGAATTACGGCCGAAGATACGGGCTTATTGGACACAATGGATGCGGAAAGTCGACCATGCTGGCCTTATTAGGTATGCTTTAGTTAATTTAACTGATAATTTTAACGAAGAAGTCATTAATATACCTTAGTTCCCAAAAATTTGTGTGCCATTATATTGAGCACAATTTATTTGAGCCCGAAAAATTTGGGCAAAAAATTTGAACTCATTTGGGCGACCGAAAATTTGGGCACAAATTCTTCGAAAAATGAACGATTTTCCACTAAAATTTCAGTTACATATTTGTTCATTATTATTCCTTATTATTCCAGTCATTTTGCTTTAAATTTTAAGCATGTAGGTGGTAGTCTGAGTTGTTTCACATTATGAAATTTACGATCTGCCCAGTAACTACTAAAAAATACAGTAATGATGGCACAGTAGTAGTACAAAATGATAGATATACAATAGTGATATTTAGTCTCTCAATCAGATAGTTTAGTCTACTTACACTCAGCATATCTTATCATACCCCTTTCACGTACAATTATCATTATGACGCCTCACCAGATGGTCGAAAGGTTTGACCGGGTTTGACCCGTTTGACCCGTTTGACCAGTGTCCAGTTCTTTGAGAAAACCCTTCTTCCCCACATAGAATCAGTTAGAGCCTCCATCAACAACCCTGAGCAGAAAGCGCTACTGATATCAGATGTGTTTCGGGCCCAACACACACAGACACTAAAAGATCTGATGACAGCCAACAACTGCATCCTACAGAAAGTTCCAGCTAATATGACCCATCATCTACAGCCCCTGGACATATCTATCAATGGACTGGCTAAGAAATTCATGCGCAATAAGTACGAAGATTGGTACGCGAAAAACATAGTGTGTCAGCTCAATGGAGGAGTTTCATCAGACAATGTGAAAATTGATACCCGCTTGACAGTGATCCGTGAAGTACACGCTCGTTGGATCAACGAACTTTTTGTATATTTAAAAGGGAGGCCAGATGACATAAGGAAAGACTTTGAGAAGTCGGGTATAACTGATGCTTGTTACGTTCGGTTTCGATAACTTGCAATGAGATAAATTTGCCGCTACGACTTTGGGCCGTTTCTCTTCTAAAAGTGCTTCAAGTATAGTATGTATACGATTTTGGCATAGACATTCAACATTGCATAATTGACAATACTCCCGGATATATTAGTCTAGCTTTAATGATACTACAATGACCATAAATCATAATATAATTGTTTGTTTTATAACAATATAAAATAATGTGTGTATTATTATTATATATTTGATTTATTGAGATAGTAATTTGTTATCGAAAACACAATTTCACAGTCAACCATACATTGTATTTTGAAAGTGTATGTGATCGCCTACAATGACACACTAGTATGAGTAGTATCATTTAATAACCTGAATAGACCATATTATTACCAACCTACAATGAATGTATTACCTTTTTACCGAAAATACCGACGTCACCAACATATAAGTCAAATGCCAGTCACATAACAGTCACATACAAGTCATATACCAGTAACATATCAGTCACATAACAGTACACTCCACAACAATATGCAGATACACTCCACAACAATATGCAGATATGCTCCAAAACACCGTACTACTACTATTTATAAAAGTCGAATAAAATTGAACCCCCTGAGAGAAGTTTGATGATCTTGTATGTACATGCCCTTTTTCGGAATATTGCTTCTGCGTGCATTGTGACATCTTATAGATCTAAAGGCGAAGTGTTTTGGTGGCCCTGTATTCTGTTGTGTTGGTAAGCCTGTGATATTGTATGTAAATTGTGCGTGGGATCATGTAATGTGCAAATTTGGTTTGAATGACATGATTGTCACTTTGTCATGGGTGATTGGCTTTTGATCTCCCAGTTTCGCATCTGCTATATCCTGTCAGTACTTGGTAGTTACTCGAAATTAACCATGCAATTTTAATAGTTTTTCAAGATTGTTTTTTATCGCTTGAGTGGGAGACTGGGAGAGTTCACGATTGAATCCAATTTTAACTCGAAGTTTTAAATTGAAAGTGGGGGCCTAGCGAGAAAGTCCACGATTTTATCGAAGTTTTTAAATTGATTAACATAATTAATTTTATTAGAACACCTGATATATTGATTTCAGGAGAGAGAGAGTTCCCGATCCCTGAGCACGTGGATATTTTCTTCCTCCGCAAAGAGATTGACGCTTGCGACAAAACAGCGCTTGAGGCTGTAATGGACGTCGATGCTGAGCGAATATTTTTGGAGAACAAGGCGGAGGAATTATCTGGTCTAGGTAAATTTTGATATTTATTTTATTATTTTGTTATCAGTTTTGTTTATCTACACGCTTAAAACTGTAATAACTAAGCTTGGGTCGAGGGTTTTAAAGCTTGTAAAAGGTTGAGCTTATAATCGTGTACTACGTATTATTTAAGCGTGCCTATTGCAAACATTTTGTGCACCCCTGCCTTGCTTGAGCTCTCTACGGCTTACGTAACTCAATTTGAACGTAAGAAAATTTCGTTACCTCTCCACCACTTGCACTATTAAATCCTATAATAAAACATGTAGCAGTTAATGCAGTGTAGGTTCTATTGTTCTGCCATAGCCTGGCGAGAACATATTAGACTTTTACTGCAAGGAGTTTTGGCACAAACAGCTGATAGATTCTCCCACTCCGGCCTTTCAACTCTTACCCAGCCTTTTGCTTTTGTCATCTCACTATCCCGGCATCTCACTATACGGCACGTCACTATACGGCACATCACTACACGGCATTTCTCACACGGCCATTCATTTAATTTTCTTCTACGTTTGAGTCTTTGGATTCTTACTGAGGTACGTTAACCCCCAGGTGGTACTGATCAACAACAGCTCAGTTTGGGACTCATTAATTTTCATTTAATCATTCACCAGACTCTTCTCAAACCAGCCTTACATTTATTGATCTTATTCTTAATTTCTTCTGTTTATGCTAGAACCTCACTGAGATGGAAAGCAATGTACCAACTGTGTGAGTACAAGCTTCAGTTTTCATGTAATAATATGCTTCCCCTGTCACGTGCCGAAACTAATATGGTTCTCCAGCGATATCCAGACCTTTAGGAATTTCTATTGAACGTTTCTAAGTTTGAAAGGCTTAAAAGGGAAAAAAGGAACCTGATATAGTAGCATGTGTTTCCTTTCCATGACGACTTTTTTCGTGTTTAAAAATTCAAAACAATTTGGTCTTCCGGGTACTGGCTTTCACTTTTCTTTAAAATGTACTTTAAAAACTTAAAAAGTTTCAACAAATAGGTAATCCGCACATACTACCCATTCTCCCGTTCAGGCGATGCTTTTATAGACGTGTTGACTGACATCTATGACAGATTAGATGGCATGGATTCTGCCAAAAGTAAAACAAGGTTCGTGTGAAAAATATAAAATGATATGCTAATATCATCGATAATTTATATACCACACGCACTTTGTCTTATCGAACTAAAATGTTGTGTAGTTAAAGCTATATAGTTCCTGTTTAAAACTTAAATGTTATATCTAACATGATCAATCAATAATTTATCTAAAATGTAACAATTCAATTAAAAACTAATTGATCGATTATCAACTTCATCACTAGGTGTTGTGAATTGTTGTTTGGTTTGGGTTTCAACAAGACGATGATGCAGAGGAAATGTAAAGATTTCAGTGGAGGGTGGAGGATGAGGATAGCCCTTGCTCGTGCTTTATTTATTTCGTAAGTTGCGTAATATTATGTTTTACTTACTATTATTATCACCAGTATTATTTATCCCCGTTATGAACTTGTAATATTACAGCGAAAGTGGTAATAGTAAAAGTAAAAAGTAATAGTAAAAGTATCTCTTCTTAGGAAAGGAGTGGTGCACACTACGCGGCGTTGATAATGATATCATCATATCATATTATACATTCACAACTTCACTCAAATCAATGTAATCAAAACAGCAACCAAAAATTGTAAATAATATTAAATTAGATTTGTTTGAAATTGACTTATCTTGCATTTTGATTCACTCAATTACGAGTCAGAAAATAACATTTTAACGTTCAAATATTCCACCAGACCAAAGCTGTTGTTGTTGGACGAACCTACAAACCATCTCGATCTTGAAGCTTGTGTCTGGCTGGAAGAAGAACTCCAGGAGTACTCTAAGTAAGTCACTACCCCTTTTTATCACGATACTTTCACGGTATCTTGTTAGCAGGTGCAGCAGAATTGTAAATAATATTTAAGTTATATATTTAATGTTTCTATTTCGGACTTAAATGAGATGTATTTCTCGGACATATGTCAAGCCTCGCTGCGGTTTTGGCTATTTTTATTTTAAAGCGAGCCTTCGTCGATTTAAGTAGAATAGTCCTAATCCAATTTATAATAAAGGACGTCTTATTAAACAAGGTCATTAAACTGCTAACTAAATTCCTCCTCAACCTACCTCCGCAAACATTACTGTTGCCAAACAATTTAGTTACAATGCCTGCGATTTCTAAGTTGGTGATACAATTGTACATATAAGATAGTCTAAGGCTTCACTACTCAGGCGCTACTATCCGGAATCCGGATACATAGTATGTATAAATATATTCCTTACTGAATCTATATAAATATAATATAAGCTGTTGCAACATAGCTGCTTACAATGTAGGTATTGTCGCCTTCTTCTTGAAGTCATCAGCTGCATTGTGTTTCAAAAAGACTTAGTTACTAGTTCTGAAGTTAGCCACTGATCACGTGATATCAGATCACGTGATATCTATCACGTGACCTGCTCAGTGCTCAAGTCCAATGTTTACTAATTATAGCTGGTCGGGTATTTGTGAAATTCTAAAATGAAAGTTGATGTGCGTTATGTGATAAAGCCGTGCATTCCATCACCTAAAATACAATACATTGGTGCAGTACATCAGTGCAATGTGGTACTTGGCATTGATTTTAAATGACAGGGGAATAGAATGTAGTTGTACTCTTTTGTTCAGGTATTATAGTAGTACTCTGATTGTCTGATGTCATAAGCCGACGTGGGAATGATTTTATCCTGTGTTGGATGCCAAAGTATGATCTTTATCTCTAGCTATTTAGTCCTCATTGTTGAAACATTTGACTTGTTGTCTTGGGGATAATTCTCAGTCAACATTATTCTCAAGAATTCTGCATTTGTCGATATACAGTCGAAATGTTTTTCCTTTATTTTCGACGTTTTTTGTGTTTTTGAATTTGTTGAATTGTTTGACCAGTCAGAATGTCTAGATATTTTCGTAAATTCTCAACATTTCTGGCAATGACCTGACCTGAGAGTAATACAAAGACTGATGTCGGAAATGCCAATGATCCACAAATTACTGCTGTGTCGGAGCTTTCATCAATATTTACGAACGCTGCCTTAATTGACGAGACAATAATAAACAATGCTTGTCTTCCTTGGTTTTCCACAGAATTTTCATCCAAGTTTTAACATATAAAAGATATGTTGAAAAGTCGACTTAAATCTCCAGTGCCAACAAAATTTGTCCAAGACCCAAAAATGATAACTATGTACGAGTCACTAAATTAGAGCGATGTTAAGTATTGAAGCCATTTTCGCTTAATTTCTGACACACAAACACACACACACACACAGCAGCAGCAACAGCCCATACAGTAATTATGCTCACACCAAGTTGCCAGTGCTTCATTATGCTAAATATTACCCAGAGGTACCTGTCACGACGTGAGGAATAATCTAGGTCACGTGACTCTGTGATCACGTGGTTTAATAATGAGTACATATTATTATTATACAATCTACAATTGCTGCTCTGCAATCACCAGCAGTGTGGCAGTATTGAGTTGTAAGTTCAGTTAAACACCAATTTTCGGAGTCCGGACCGGTTTTTAGGTTTATATGATTTGAAATTTTCAGAATTGAAGTTGGTCCGCCATGGTCTGGTACTAAATTTGTCCGGGAAGAAGTTGTTCGGAGTTTGATATTTAACTGTAATAGCATAGTTCAGTTTAATCAAATTTAAGTCGATTTATTCGCCGTTCGCATGCTGAATGCATTGTACACTGATTCGTTACTAGCGATTATTTTAAATCATGCGTTATTTAACCATGTCTACAGTACATAATATCCTTTTTAAACATATGTATTTTAAATTTGTTGAGTCGTGAGGGTTGCTCTTTTGTGTGTCAGTCGAACTTTTCGGCAGTGTCTGGCTAGCTCGGTATACAAAATCACACAGCTTGTTCACGGCTTAAGGTATCCATTATCAAACTTAGATAAATCTTAGTCTAAACAAATCTTTATACTTATATAAAATATAACATTTATTATTTTAGTTTCGATTTCTGATTTCAGAGAATTAAAGGGTCTGAGCTTATATTACTCCGGGTCGTACGTGATTTGTAAGACCGTTTTCATAGCTGTTCGATTGTATATCATGGAAACATGCGGCCATTTTGCCGGATCGAATTACAGTAAATCCCCAAATCAGCACACAATTTGAGGGGAAGGAAAGTAGTGATTTAATAAATAATAAATACTTTTCAAACTATTTAAACTATTTCAGGTGTCTGGTGATAGTTTCACACTCCCAAGATTTCCTGAACAGTGTCTGCACCAACATTATCCACTGGCAGAACAGCAAGCTGGTGTACTATGGTGGTAACTACGACACTTACATGAAAACCAGGGCAGACTTGGAGGAGAATCAGGTTTATAATATAACTTAATTTAAAATAATTAGTTACGATAATTAATTTTAATAATTATAATCATTACAAATCATAATTCATAATGACCTACTTCTTTCCGTCTAATCTCCAAAAACAAAGTCCTTGTATGTGGTATAACATCTATTTGTACTAGGAAACTGCTAAGGTCTCTTGTATGCCCAGTCCAGATATAATAATACACCTCACTATAAAAATATGGGATTATATTACAGTACAAAATGTATAAAACTACGTAATATTATGTTAATATTGTGATGTAAGATATTGTATAAATCTGCATATTATGTTGTTGCACGTTCGAGGCTTAGTAATTAAACTCGTCACCGTATCACAAGTTGCCAACTCTAAATATGACACATTCCACATACACGCGTCCTTCAAAACAAAAAACCATTTTACACCACGTGATTGTGTTAACGAGACACGTGGTGTGACTGTCACGTTTTGACCAAATAAGGGCATACCGCAAACGTGATCCGTTCGTAGCCCTCCAATAACGGTCGTGAAAATAACACACGATCACCTGATCTTCTGAATCACGTGATTGAGTCGTGACGTCAACATTGCATCACACTGTTTGATTACATTAGCTGTGTGTTCCAATATATAATACTGATATCAGTATATACCCCACTACGCGTTATAACAGTGTGCAGGGTGGATGAGAGCTACTGAGCTGGGGTATTATTATAATATAACTTCATTCTCATGAGAGACGTATTAGAAGTTGGCGTGGAATAATTGTACGGGGTCAATTATAATACTGCACGCTCGCGCTCTGTGTATGACAGCTTCTAAGATCATTCCATAACTTAAGCTGTGATTATAATAATAAATTCTCTCTCTCTCTCTCTCTCTCTCTCTCTCTCTCTCTCTCTCTCTCTCTCTCTCTCTCTCTCTCTCTCTCTCTCCTCTCTCTCTCTCTCTCTCTCTCTCTCTCTCTCTCTCTCTCTCTCTCTCTCTCTCTCTCTCTCTCTCTCTCTCTCTCTCTCTCTCTCTCTCTCTCTCTCTCTCTCTCTCTCTCTCTCTCTCACTCTCACTCTCTCTCACTCTCTCTCTCTCTCTCTCTCTCTCTCACTCTCTCTCTCTCTCTCTCTCTCTCTCTCTCTCTCTCTCTCTCTCTCTCGCTCTCTCTCTCGCTCTCTCTCTCGCTCTCGCTCTCTCTCTCTCTCTCTCTCTCTCTCTCTCTCTCTCTCTCTCTCTCTCTCTCTCTCTCTCTCTCTCTCTCTCTCTCTCTCTCTCTCTCTCTCTCTCTCTCTCTCTCTCTCTCTAGGGAAACATAGTAGTGTTAGTATTATTAATAATATGGTAGTGGTAGTATAGTAGTACTGTATCGTGATAATATCTGGTGAGTTGTGGAGATGTGAGGGGTGTGTGAGCTGTTGTCTGTTCTGGTGAGGGGTAATTCGAAACTTGTGATAAATTATGTCTTGGATTTTGGCACCCGTATTATATCTGTGTATGACACATGTTATCATATGTGTGATATCATATGTGATTTATTCATTATTATGTCATTCATGCTTAGAGGTTATATCATCATAACTCCTCTTGTCCTTTGGACATAACTTATCCTTCCCTGAAAATGCACAATATCAACGTGCTTAAAAAGTTTAGAATTCAATTTGAAGCTGGCATAGTTTGGCATATAAAGTTAGTACTTTTCTTTAATTAATTTCGTATAACTGACCGATAATTTTCAGATGAAACGATACCAATGGGAACAAGATCAGATCAAACACATGAAAGAGTACATCGCTCGTTTCGGTCACGGCAGCGCCAAGCTGGCCCGACAAGCACAGTCCAAAGAAAAGACCCTCGCCAAGATGGTACAAGCTGGTTTAGTCGAAAAAGTTCAAACCGATTGTAATTTAGAATTTTACTTCCCAGATTGCGGTAACATTCCGCCGCCGGTCATCATGGTGCAGGATGTGAGTTTTAGGTACGGTGACGAGGGTGCGATGATATACGAGAACCTTGAATTTGGTATTGATCTTGACTCCAGAATAGCACTGGTTGGACCCAACGGAGCAGGCAAAAGTACGCTTCTCAAATTGATAGACGGCTCCTTAGAGCCCACCAGTGGTTTTGTCCGGAAGAACAGCCATCTCAGAATGGGTCGTTTCCATCAGCATCTCGAGGATATTCTGGACGTTACGATGAGCGGTATCGACTGGATGCAAAAGTGCTTCCCTGACATCAAAGACATCGAAACGATGAGAAAGATCCTGGGCCGATACGGACTCTCCGGCAAATGTCAGACCAAGCCAATCGGTCACTTGTCCGACGGACAAAAATGCCGGATCATCTTCGCGTGGATGGCACAGCAAGTCCCACACATGCTGTTACTTGACGAACCTACTAACCATCTCGACATCGAGACAATCGACTCCCTTGCTGCAGCAATCAGGAACTACGAAGGAGGACTGATTCTTGTTTCTCACGACTTCAGACTGATAAACCAGGTAGCTGAGGAGATCTGGGTCTGCGAGAATAAGACCGTGACCAAGTGGAACGAGGACATCGTGGCCTACAAGAACCACCTGAAGAAGAACGTGATGAAAGCTTACAAGAATGAAAAGAAACGCCTGGCTGAGCTTACCACGTAGCTTTTGCTTCGAAGGAGATTGCGTCATTGTGCGTGAGTGTGTGATTGGATACCATCTAACTCTAAAAACTCATTCTGAACACCTTTGTATGTTGTATTTGTTGGATATTTGTATAGAGTTACAAATTTTAACCCATTCTATTTATTTGTTTTATTCATCTTGATGTGGAGGCTTTGTTGTGCTTATTTAAGGTTAATCTTGCGGAATCGCCTGATAGGAAAAAGGCCGCTGTCCCAATGATAGGATAATTAGCTACATAAACGTAGCGCGCAAAGACATATTCCTGCTGAAAGTAGTTACAGTGAACACGGCGCACTCGATTTTGCGGCCAATTTTTGATGGAAACCACAAGATACCACTTTTTCCAAAATTAGCCTAATTCCCCTAGCGGGAGTGGAACCCAGTATGGATGTTCACTTCTTGACACTTACATTCCCTAATGTTCCTAGCCATGTAGATGCGGGGTTACGAAGTTTGATCGGGCTGTAGTATGGCTACTAGGATGTCTAATAGTGTTGCTTCTGATGTTTCCCAGGTGAGTTTTTAAATTCTTTTGTCTTTTTAACACTTATCAGACAACCTGCAAATCCATGTGTTCCAGTGCACTGTTATTCTGATAAGTAGATATTGAATAATAACCGTCAAATCAATTCCATAACTGCAGGTGAAGCAAGTGATAAAGATAATAGCTGATAAGTTGATTACGATACGAGATCAACACATTTCCACGGAACTTGGTCTAGATGAGTGCAGAAGTCTCGAAAACAAAATCATCAAGTACTACTGCAGGTAAGAAACTGCAGGTAATACTACTGCAGGTAAGAAACAACGCCCAATTACTACTGCAGGTAAGAAACAACGCCCAATTATACGATATGCACTACTGCAGGTAAGAAACAACGCCCAATTGTACGATATGCGTCATGCGAAGTATCATGTACGAGGTACTGTAAAAAACTTGATGCCAATATACGTTTTTTATGGTCATATATATCCTTTTATCTCCAGGATAATTTTGATGATGGAAAATGCTCCTGATGACGATGACAAAAACACTTACATGGACTTTTCACAACTGCTCAAGGTACTGTTATATATTCTATCCCTCGCCATATTTATTCTATATCTTGTTAATCCATGTAGTGATTAAAAGTAATTTAACTTCATCATCAGGCATGTTTTTGATGTAAATATTGTGTACAAATTTGTATGGGTACAGACAATATTATGTTTCTTACTCTGTAGGTGATAGGAATCCACGATGATGGGATAGAAGAAATCTCGAAATCAGAAACTCTGATAGATATATTGGACCTAGACGACAGTCAAACTGCTGGCTTTGCTCAGAAGTATGCTCTGCATCGTGAGGAGACCAGGAAGTTTTGTCTCTTTCTGCACAACTTACGGCGTTGTGTCCATGACAGGAAGAGCAATAAGGTAAAGACTGAAAAAATACTGAGAACACTGCAAAAAAACTTTTAAATTACAGTGCTTTATTTTTTACTGATCATACCCCTCAAGTTGAAAATGTGTCATTGATCAAGAAATTAGTTATTTGATTTATTCTATGCAACATAATTTTTAAAAACGAATTTTTGAAATGTGCAAAGCAGACACACATTTAACACCATTAGTACCGCACTAACAATAAGAAACCAACCCCTCACCCTCATCCTCACCTATCTCTCTACTCAGGAGGGGCTGAACAACTACGTGTGGCAGAGTTGGAACAAGATCCCCCGTTATCACAGTACCAGTAGCATGGACAGATTAGCACTTCCGGGCAACCTGCCCCGCTCTCAATCTTACTCTCTTTCTAACGCTAATCTACTTAATAAGGTGGGAGAATATCTCAAGTTTATACACTTTCACATTATGTGACTTATATATTTCATATAAAAGTCTATATAATCTTGGTATTTCAATACTGAGTCTCGCTTGAATGACTTAAATGTAAATCTTTGTTGGGTATATTTTAATGTCGAAGCGTGTAATAAATGTTAGAATTTATTTATTTTTTCCATTTGCTATAATTACCATGTGTTTTCCATACAATGCACGTGTCTTAACTGTTAAAACTATCCTAAATTAGAATAAGAACTAACGTTATAGGTGGTGAACAAGTCGCAGCCTAATCTCAGCAATGTGGTTAACATGGAATGTCTCAACCAATACTCGAGTGTTCCCCGTAATACAAGCAAGGTATTTGTTATTCTTCAGACACTGCTTATCATTATCAAGAAATAATCCGTGTAAATTGATTGGAACTGATGAGTAAGTGTTCTAACATTATTTGGTCCCAGAGCGGAACAAAGAAACCACGTCCCTCCGTCCTCAATCTGCCCTGTTTCATGTATCCTCCTTCCCCTTCTCTCAACTCCCCCATCGTCATGGCACACTCCATCAAACACAGATTCTCATCCCGGTCCCTGCTTCTTAGTCAGAATTGCGACTTTTGTCATAAGATGATGTTGTTTAGGTAATTCGAACTTCATGACAGACAGATGACCGACCAATCTACTGACACAGCAGCTTGGCCCAGGGACGGACGTTTAAGACACAAAATCAGAATTACAAAGTGTAACCGAAATTTCTTTTAATTTTATACGTTATTTAAAATGTTTTTTAAACCTTACAAATTAATACCTGACCTCTTGCAAATTACTGACCTATTCTGAACCCTTACAGTAAAATTATTGTTTCAACGTCGATATTCTTTTCTTTTTTCTCTTTTTAAACACAATATTAAGACGGTATCAGCCTGTCTGTTCCTAAACACACTTGCTAAAGTGTCCACAGTGATCTCCAACGTTAACATTCATTAGGTACGGAGTACGTTGCAAGGAGTGTAATTACAAGTGCCACAAGGACTGTTCCCTCAAAGCTCCAGCCTCCTGCGGACTCCCTCCGCAACTGGAGGAGTTTTATAAGCGACAATGCGAACTTTCTCAGGTACTTTTGGTTCCACATCTATTAAAGTATTAAGAGTTAATAGTTAATAGTTAATAGTAATAGTACTATGTTTTACAGTATGCACTGAAGGGGTATCCTAGGAAGTTTCTTGAACTTTTAACAGGTACCCCTCCTCATTTAACCCTCAATTAAGTTTCCTATCATTCGGCTGAGTCGACCGAGGAGATCGCATAGATCCAATGTATCCTTAGCTACTCCCTAGACTAGGTGACACTGGGATTCGAACCCTGAACCTTCTGCGCAGAAGGCGGGTGCTCTAACCACTAGGCCACCTAGTACAGAGTTGGGCGGGGATTTTAACAGTGCGAACTTTCTTGGGTTATACGTTTATCAAGGGTTGATAATAACGGTAACAATTATTAAAAGTCATTATTTATAGGCGGCCGTTTAGTAAAAAATAATGGTAGGAAATTTAGTCGTAATCTATTTTTACATTTGACAGTGATATCACACAAAATAACTTGCATTATTTTTTGCCAGGTGTTCAAATTATTTGGAAATGGGTGAGCCAATATCGACAAATAGTAGTAAACGATTAAAAATGTTAAAATTTAAGGAGAGTTGACTAAAGAGGTACACGTACTGTAGTTCGACACGTACTGTAGTTCGACACGTACTGTAGTTTGACACGTACTGTAGTTCGACACGTACTGCAGTTAGAAAAACTCTAAAGTGTCTAACTACAGTTAGCTAGTTAGTTACCTGAAATCTTGTTTCGAATAACTACAAATATGTGGAATTTGTACGACGGTTCCGGTTTCAGAGCTTTACGTGTATGTAATTTTTGTTTCCAGTGTTCTGACACGATATTCCAGCTAGCCCTTGCGAAATATCAAGAGTTTTAATCAGAGTCATTTGGCAAAAGTCACCAGGTTAACGAAAGAGATAACAAATAAAAATTCAATTTCGGTGAACATAAGTCTGATCAAATTATGATTTAAAATACAAACAAATTGAGAAGCCTTAAATAACTAAATAAACATTCATTTTAGTCACACTATACTACAATTTTTAATGGAGAAATTTAGTCCCTAAAAATCCATCCATAAGTGCATTATTTTAAGAAGAACAATTTTATAAAATCAAAACGTGTTTAAACAATAAAGGTAAAGATTTCAACAGACTGTTACATTTTCTGTTACCACTGTGCTTGTAGTGGCCGTGTTTATCGAAGGAGTCAAATTAACAACACGACCAAGGGGAACCTGTTGAACCCTAGCTTTCCTACAGAGAATTCTCTTCTTTGTGAACTCTTTAAAACTTTGGTTGACGGCTAGATAGATAAACGGGTTGGTCCAACATGACAACCAGGTCAAGGAAAAAGTAAACTCGCGGTACTCAGCTGGGTATGAATGTGATAACCCGGAAATCAGCTCAGGAATAAATGATATTATAAACCCAGTTGTCACTATTATCACTATCAGGAGATTCCTCTTGTTTATTGTGGTATTAGATCTCTTTATTGCAAGGACTATCATAACTGAGTTTATAATTATCAGCGTAAGGGTGGGGACTGCAGCAAGGATAAACATTAAAGCATCGTTCACAAGATCTCTCTGCCTTATTTGCGGGTAAACGATATCTCGTGCCCCCAGATAAGACATGTCCTTCCAGTTATCTTTGAGAGTCATAGAACCATCGAGATATAAGCAAATGATCCGCAGACTAGGTACTATACTTAAAGAGAAAGTGAAAAGAGTAACCTTGATACGCTGAGATCGAGTTGTATATAGGTTCCTCAGGGGGTAGATGCACCTCAATACTTTGTTCAATGATAGAATGTTAATCAATACAATGTTGGATATGAAAAATAAATGTTTGTAGCTTCCTAGTACGTTATAAAATGTTTTGTTTTTAGAACCAAATAACAAAACTCCATTCATTTTTCCATACTGAATAAGTAGAATGGGCAGTAGAACTAGGACACAGTTTCCAATATCAGCTACTGCCAGATTCTTGATGATCCAGAGGGACATTGTGTCCAGTTTAATGGCTTTGTGAGCTATGGTAGCATACAAGACAAAAGCGTTCCCTGAAACTCCCAAAATAAAACTTATTTGTTGCAATACTATCTGGAATCCATAGATGATTTGCGTATTTTCAGGCAGTCCTTTGGTCCGATTATCTGACATCCTGAAATGGAACGCAGCCTTATGAATAAGTTATTGTGCAACGCCAATTAATATACTAAATAGAGTGGCTACACGATCATAAGGGCCCACTCTATTCAAATAAACATTGATTCTACTTCAATGCTGTCAAAATCTGTTTCCTACAACTTTGACGAAATCATAATAGAGGTCATACAATTTTCTAGTGGTGTTATTCAGCACATCAAGATCACCGGCCTACTTACTGTGTTACGCCGATTTTAACGAACAACAAATTCAAGGAAAAAATCGATTTAAATACGACAGTTAAGTAAAATACTGGCCAGAAAATGTTGGACGCACTATGCTGCCGACATTTCAAATTTAACGTTCAGTTCAAGCAAAAAAGTATCTTTATTTTTGCCAGGTGTTCAGATAACTTAAGGCGAATGAATAAGAATGAGTTTTCAGGAAATGCAATAAAATAATGTTCTACAATGTGAGCACCCTTTAACAGCCGACTTAGGCTTAGTCGGCCGATTAGGAAAATACCGGTCAAAAAAGGTTGGACGTAATGGGATTTATACCTGTACGTGATTTCAATTACAATAGTGTATTTGTTTTTGCCAGGTGTCCAAATGATTCTGAAATGACTGAGTTAATATCGCAAAACATAGTAAAGATTTTAAATATTTAGATTAAATGGCTATTGACTAGGGATGAAAATAGTGTTTAAGGCTATAGATCTCGTAAGGCCGAGTTTTCAACATTTTATTTTCAGTCATTTGCTGATTTGCCGTGATGCTTCCTACTAAACACTACAGCGAATTGTGTTTTTAATGGTCTCTGCTGCAACCGGGCGAAATTTGAAATGGGGTTCCCCAATGCATTACAAATGAAATAAATGAATCGTTAAAAAAACGAGAAATATTATACACTAGAAACCCGCTAGTCGAAAGCTTCGTTCGAGGAGATTTAAAATCATTTATGTTTAAATGTCTCTTCATCTTCTAGCTCTGTACTGTAGAAAGTATGGATTTTATTTGACAATGACGACAACATTATAAATATTCGGATTCCTTAATCGATACCTTTTACCGCATCAAAAAGTATCAATCACAACCAACCTTATGGATAGTCATAGCAGAAGGGTCGGTTTTTGGTCAATTTTTAGTGTTTTTTTGCCGGGGAGATTTCGTCAAGTTTAAAATGTAATATAGATATAATAATCATGTATGTAATATGTGTTATGTTTCCTGTTTCATCTTTTTTTATTGCGTGGCCGATCTAAAATTTAGGTTACAAGATAAAACAAGGATATAACTTAGATTGGATCAAAGTAGCTAAGTGATCAACGTGAAAAGCATAATTGGGTTTTATAATAAGTTAAGATAAATATGTACAATGATAATTTGGATAATATAATTATTGCACAACAAAATATACTCTAAAATATATTAAAGTCCCTTGTTATACCTATTAGTCGAGAAAGTCCTTCGCTAACCAATAGCAACTCTATGAGTCAGAAGCTAAAAGGGAGAGAAGTTTTCCTGCTTACAGCACATATATTATACATTTAACTACATGTTGTAATGATACATAATTGCAATTATAATGTTAGATAACATATCTAGCTGTTTTACGCTTTAACAGACTGCTACCTGTTCCGTTACTGCTACATTTGCAAACACTGTGTTTGTTGAAGGAGTCACAATAACAACACGACCAGGTTGGACCTGTTGAACCGTGCTTCTTCTGCAAAAGAGTCTCTTCTTTGTGAACTCTCTGAATCTTGGGTTGACAGCTAGATAGATGAACGGGTTCGTCCAGCAAGACAACAAGGTTAATGAATAAGCAAACTCGCCATAAATACTTTCAGGTGATTTACCCGATAACGTGTAAGCTAAATCAGGAATAAATGATATTAAAAAGACAGCTGTAACTATTATCACTGTGATGAGATTCCTCTTATTTATTGCAGTGTTTGATCTCTGTATTGCAAAGACCACCACAGCTGAGTTGAAAATGATCAATGTAAGTCTGGGGAGTGCAACGTAGAAATAATACAGAATATCCCTTATGATTTGGGTGCTATCTGCATCGGAAGCACCATGTATAGGAGTAGTGATGTGTCGTGAACCCAGGTAGGCAGTGTTTCTCCAGTCTTCATTAAGGATGAAGGAGCCTTCGGAAAACTCATAAATAATCCACAATACAGGCACTATGCTTAACGAAATTGTGAGTGCAGTAACCTTAATACGCTGACATCGAGTTGTGTATAGGTTTCTCAGAGGATAGATGCACCTCAGAAGCTTGTTCAGTGATAGAATGTTTATCAATACTATATTGGCTACAAAAAATGAATTTACGTAGCTTCCAAGTACTTTATAAAAACTATTACCAGGACCGAAAAACAGTATTCCATTTAGTTTTCCATACTGAATAAGTAGAATGGGCAGTAGAACTAGAACACCGTTTCCAATATCAGCTACTGCGAGATTCTTGATGATCCATAGGGACATTTTGTCCAGTTTAATAGCTTTGTGAGCTATGGTAGCATACAAGACAAAAAAGTTTCCTGAAACTCCCAAAATAAAACTTATTTGTTCCCATGCTATCTCGAATCCATAGATTATTTGCGCATTCTCAGGCAGTCTTAGGGTCTGATAATCTGACATCCTGAGTTGAAATGAGGAGTTATGAGAAACAGTTATTATGCATATTGCATATCCAAAATTACCACAGGAAGTGTAAAGTATGGGGTACAAAAGAAACTTGTGGTTAAAATAGGAGATATAAAATGTATCAAGAGTAATACAGTAAGAAACCCGTACAGAGGCACATATTAGGTGCGATGGGTGCGGGATCGCACAATTTACCGTTTTCTGC